CTTTAGTCTGCAGAAACTTCGAAACCCGAAACAAACAAATAAACCCAATCGATCGATTATATCAATGATGAGTGTGGGAGTTACTCGTTGAGCGCATGAGCTCGTTAGAGTGCAATTAACTCACCCCGCCTTTGTGGTGCCATACAATTTCTAGTTTCAGAATGGAATTAGAAGTGGAAACAGGTGTAAGCATTTATTGTATTGTGAAAAATAAACAAAACAAGAAAATAAATAAAAAGCTAGTTATTCTTCTTTTACGCTAGTCGTCAACTTCTTACCAAGCCGGGTGGAGGTGGGACCTGTGGTAACCTCGCCAGAGAAGGTTTCAAGCTTCTATGGGCCTTTGAAGAAAAATCTGGGTAAATCGGTACAGTGAAGAATGATGGTTACAAAAATATGGAGACAAAATTGCTGCGTGAACTTCCCAAGCAAATTTTGAGTGGTCAAACTTGGCATTAGATACAGCGTTTCTATATGTATATATAGTCCCTTTCAAAAAACGAGACGAGCGTCGGGTGCAGACCATACACCACAAATGACGACGGCCTCCACAAAATGTAAATGTTTTCTGCCAATGAAATGATTAGCCTGTTGCAGTTGTATTCTATCAGTTGTCACTAATTACAACTATCATTTACCAAAAATCAGCTATCACTATGAATCACTAGTAACCAGATTTACTTGGAGGCCGTCGTCACATGTCGCGTGTGTATGGTCTGCATCCGACACTCTTCGTATAATGTATGCTATACGAAGTTATATGCGAGCGCGGACGAGTCGATAGTGCCCGCGAACTGTGGTGGTGATGCGTTTTCAAATTTACCCACACAGTTCGCGGGCACTATCGACTCGGCCGGGTTTGCCGCGGCCGCGCCCCAAATCGTGAAGAAAGTGGGGGAGCCGAGTATGAGGAAATTTGCGCAAACCATTTACTTTTTGCCCTGGCATTTATTGCCAACTTTGACTGCTCATAATTTGTTTGGAAAGTTCTATAGAAGTTTTTGTCTCCATATTTGTGACTTATATTCTGACCCTACCCTTTTACCTAGGCTTCCATCAGAAGTTCCGAAGAAGGGGAAGCTGGAAGCCTCCCTTGGGGCCGTATCCTATCCTTCCCCCAATTACAGCGTCCCCGCCGTGCTGACCAGAGTCAACCCTGCGTTGCGCAGTTCTCAACGGCCACGTTGCGCAGTTTCGCCCGATTAGACACGTTCTCTCGCGCGAACATTCACACTCGCATGCTCGAGCCGTCTGCGTCTCCGCCCATACAGCGTGCGTTGAGGATCTCTCAACGTGCCGTTGCGAACTGCGCAACGCAGGGTTGACTCTGCCTGACCAACCTCGAATAGTGAGACATGGTGCTTCATAAGACAAGCCAAACCCTGCGTTCTATGCTCAGACAGAAAGAAGAGGCCTCAACAGGGGAGGGTAGCTACACACCATGCGTTCGATGGCGGGTCCGATGACGCAACCCTATCCCCCAAGCTTAGGATAGAATCAGCGGCGGGGGGGGCCGCCCCCCGGGGGAAAAAGGAGAAGGGGCCCCGGATTAGTACCTTGTTGTGAAACAACCAATATCTTTCCGGCCCAGGCCAACCTAGCCCGTCAGAGGTCTTGTAATGGTTATCAATATATCTGAGAGAACAAATACGCTGTGTTGTGAGTCGCCCAATTCTTACAAATAAAATCGCAGTCAACGCCTCGACGCTCTACCAGAAGGCAAATGCCGAGGCGCAAGACCCAAAGGTGTAACTGTGCATCCTGCTACTTCATTCTTTATCTGCAATATCTTGATCCAGATAAGTCGGCGCTCGGACATTTTTACCCTTCGAGTAAGAAGTCGGTCAGACTCGGCGATTGCATCGCGATGGACCAGTGCCGGAACGACGCGATCGCTCCACCGCTTGTACATCGCGATGCAGTCGCTCTTGCAATGTGCACAAGCGACGGGCGATTGGCCACGCCCACATCGATGCATTCGACATCGGTATCGATCGCGGCGGGCCACTGCTCGCCACATGCACTTTTGGCAGAGCGATTGCGCAATCGCGATGCATATCGCTTTCGGCAGAGCGATTACATCGCGATGGACAAGCGATGGAGCCGATCGTGTCGCTCGGCATCTGCGTCCAGCGGCGATGCAACCCGCTAGGGTGGAATAGGCTACACCCACACGATAACATCGCAGTTCCCGTTTCCTGAAGGTGCTCAACTAGACCCCACTGGCTGTCCTGCGTCTCTGTCACTCTCGCTTCTCTAACGCCTTACATAGCAGGTTTGGACAAGTCAGCTGACACGATTGCATCGCAGCTAATATGGACGCAGTCGCAGCGGTGCGGTCACTTTTGACTTGGACAGGCTTACTTTGTCCATACCTTCTGCGAGATATTGTTTAACTCTTATTTGTTTCAATTATCGAATTCATCTATGGCACCAATTCCCCGTAAAGACATAAAAACATCCCACGATAAAGTCGAATGCTGGGTGCGTGAAAGGAAACGGAGAAGATTACATCGGACCATGGTCTCAGTCTTGTGTGGAGAACATGGTTCGAATAGCGTAACCTCTGTTTCGTGCAGCCAGAAATCCACGTGGCACACGTGGCTAAATTCTCGATGAAAAGATGACATCACGTATGCTTAAAGATGTTCTTGAATCGATGCCACGTCAATGCCACGTCAATTTCTGCAATTGCACAACTTCTGGTCTTCTGAAGGCGAGGTTACGCGTGTGGAGCACAGCGAATCACGTTGCGAGGAAAATCCTCGAGGAGCCCTCGACGAATCCTCAACCCTGGTCGGATGTGGAAGAAGGGAACCTACCTGATGACGTCACAGGTGGATCCCCTGCGGAAGTGCGATCCCGCACGCAGCGACCCAACGCTGAATAGATGCGCATCAATACGCTGATCTACCCCAACTATTTGATCTAGCTCCCTGCGAATAAGCTCACCGAGCGCCTGCGGAACGCGAGCGCGTTGTGCGATTACGTCACAAACTGTCGCAAGTCGAGGTCACCGCACACGCGCTCCGCGTAGCCGCACCGGTGTTTAGCTTTCTCTGTTTTAGCAAGAGTAAAGCGTGGTATGAGTCAGCATAGTCGGTTCGTCCGATCGTAACGATCTCATTGTCGATTGATCGATACGCATCTACCACACCACAATGTGATCGGGCTTTCGAAACACCGTGACGCGCAGTTACATGTTCTCGGGGTTTGCGCTGGGTCACCGCGTGCTTCCCTTATGCAAGCGCGGCTTGTGCGATCTTTACGATCTCTCCAACGCGCCCTCAGCGTTCTAGGTTTGATTGTTTTTTATGCATCTCTTCATTGCACTAACCACTCGGACGAAACTCGGTTCGGGGGAGGGGGGGGCATCGATGGCGCGGCGCTCTTTTCGTCTGCTCCTCCAAAGGCTTAGTCCACAGGGACAGTTACTCTTTCGCCATTATGTGCAGTTCAAAATAGCGCCGATCGGTGACTAAGCCTTGGTAGAGCAGACGAAAACAGCGCCGCGCCATCGCGTGCCCCCCCCCCCAAACCCGAGTTTCGCCATCCACGTGCTGCGCGGCGCTAACTTAGTTGGGGGAGGAGGGGGACCACTCGGCGGCTTGGCGTTTCCCTCGTCTGCTCTTCTAAGGCTTACCAAGAACAAGTAACTGCTCCTGATCAGTTCCATGGGCACTCACTGTATCGCCATCACGTGACAGCCAGACAGTTTCGAAATACGTGCCATCGGGGACTAAATCTTGGAGGAGCAGGCGACCAGAGGGCAGCGCCACCCCCCCCTCCAACTGAGTTAGCACCCGTCTGTGCTTGCTTTCCTGGCGGCTCTCTTTTCATCGAAAACTCCACTTTTGAAATAGGCACTGATATTTCTTGGTCACCTTTGCATCTGGATCCTTCGTTGCGTATCCGAATCATTTTGGGCCGATGTTAGAGTTTGCGCGAATCCAGCGATTTGCTAGCGAATCGCTGGATACGAGCGTTGCACCAGCGAATCGAGCTGTGTGCCAGCGACTGAACTATAAGGAGCGAGGATCGAACTGTGTACCAGCGACTCGACATGTTTGAAAGTGGCGGAGCCCAACGTTTGAAGGAAGTCCACTTCAAAGGAAACACAGTTCGAAAATGGGGGGGCGCTCATCCGGTAAGGGGGGGGGGCATTGTGATGCAACGTCTAATAGCTGCCCTCACCCCCCACCCCCCTGAACTGGCTTCACTCCCCCTGGCTCACGGGGTCCCGCACTTCGAGACAGGGTCAACCGTTACGTTGGACCGATATTGGAGCGACGTTGGACCGATGTTCACCGCTCTCCGCGCCGGCATTCACTCTCGCCACCCGCGAGCCGTCTGTGTCTCCGTGCGTACGTTCACTCTCGGCATTACTCTCGTCGTCGCGTTGGACTTTGTCCAACGGACGGTTGACCCTGGTTCGAGAAACCTTTGCGCCAGGGAGTGTAGGCAGTCTAGGGGGGGGGGGGGGGAGGACAGCCACCTGATGGCCCCCTTACTGGATGAGCGCCGTGGCGGGATTTCCTTTAAACGTTCGGTCCCTCCACTTTCAAACTGTGTTGAGTCGCTGGACTCTTTCGACTCGCTGGTGCATCGACCGATTCGCCGGCAGAGTTCGATTCGCTGTCGCAAATTTTGGTGGTGGCGATTTAGGGTGAAACTCGGGTTCGGGGGGGCCACGCGATGGCGCGGCGCTCTGTTCGTCTGCTCCTCCAAGGCTTAGTCCCAGGGGCAGTTACTCTTTCGCCATTATGTGGCAGTTTCAAAATACGCGCCATCGGTGACTAAGCCTTGGTAGAGCAGACGAAAACAGCGCCGCGCCATCGCGTGCCCCCCCCCCCCCGAACCCGAGTTTCACCGCGATTCGCAAACTCTGACATCGGCCTATTAACGCCCTGTTGCCTACGTAAACATTTTGCATGAGTTAGGTTCTTCAATGCTGTCCGTAATATCTCGTAAATCCCATTGTTATAAAATTCTTTGTATAGATGTCACGTTCGATAGCAGTGCAACGTCTGAGCGATGTTGAGAAAAATACGCTGATCGAAATCGTCAGAAGCTATCCAGCCATATGGGACTACATGGACGAGCAGTACAAGAATAATAGCGTGAAACGCCTGTGTTGGATGAATGTCTCCATTGATATGGCCCAGCATTTTGGCCGGGATTATGATGGTGAGGTCGCAATCGGAATGTTCGAATATGCGAACTCAATTTGTCTATTTCAGATGAATTGTTGCAAAGGATCTACCGAAATCTGAAAGATGTTTATCAGAGAAAAAGAAAGGAGAGGAACTCAAGCGACGAAGTTTGCGAATCGCACCGAACTTACTCGTGGCCCTTCTACTCGACTTTCGCCTACCTAGGCGCTGCGATGACGAGAAAAAAAGCTGAAATGGAAAGGTTCATTTCTCCTCTACTTCGACCACATCTTTTGATAACCGTGACTTCTAAGGAACTGGTCTCGGTTTGGACTTACCTTTTACTGCCCCACTCCTCAGAAAAAGGAGTCGGAATTTTACCAAAATTTGTCCGTAACTGTGGATTTGGCTTGAATGCTGTCTCTGGGGTAGTTCCAATCGCAGAACATGACATCAGGTCCGTTTAAGCAACAACGCCAGGTCGAATTCGCGGGGTAAAAACGGTTGATAATGAAATTGTAGATGACGAGTTGACTGCTAAACGAAAAAAGCAAAGCGAAACGCCGGCGGGGTCTTTAACAGGGGTTTTCCCTCTTTCCTTCAAGACAAGATGGAGGGAGGGGCGGTCGGACGAGCTGTCTGCGGCTACAGTCGCATTTGCCTTTATGCAAACAGAGACATATGCATTAGTACAACCAAAAAGATACAATAATTAAATGAGTTAGGCAAGACAAACCAGCTGAAAAGAGGTGACATTAATTTAATTTTCGCGGCACACTTACAAGCGATCGCGCAAGGACCCGCATCAAAGCACGCGTTTTTCACGGCTGCAAGTGGGCTCCCGTGCCGGGGCCTCGTGGCTCCGCCCACTTCGGAAGCGTTAGATCCCTTCCAACAGCTTTCAAAGGTGAGTTTTAAATCAGTGACACTTCTTATGTACTTGACTAGGGCTAGTGCATCTTCCACCCCTTTAAAATCGAATGGTCAAAACCCTGCTGGGACTGTTGCTTTAGGGAGCGAAAACGCCTAGAGCCCGCGTCACAAGTCCGAGTCCGCTGGAAACTTGTCGTTAGCGGTAGATTTCCTCTTAGAATATGAAAACTACAGCAGTAGGTCGTGCGCAAGCTTACAACCTGCACCACAGACGCCGGAGTAGAACTAGTGTGATAGCGCCGGCGCCTATGGCGCAAGCACGTGAAGTTTTCTCTCTAAACTGATGCGGTATCGATGTTTTTTGGGTTGGAGTTCCGTAAGGCAACTTTAGCTAGATCCGGAATTATTGACAAATTCGATAAAATCCGGCTCAGTTATTGAGTGAGGCAGTCGGGGTAGATATAGCCTCTATTTGTGCTGTTTGGTTCACTAGGTACACGTATAATGTGTATATGATTTCCGGGGAAGCCATTTACCAAGAACGTGGTCCGGAGGTTAAGTCATTCAGGTCGCTGAGCTTTCCAACCTTCCGGGGTAGATATCTGATAAAAGAACCTTTCAGTGCGAAAGCGGTAGTGGCTAACATAAGTCAGCTGACCTCCCCATACCCACGCTGCAAGGTCTGATGGCTCCCCCACTTTCTTCACGATTTGGGGCGCGGCCGCGGCAAACCCGCGGCGTTCGCGGCCGAGTAGTGCGGCATCAGCTTGCCTGAGTATTCGACGTTACATTACGTGTTAGTTCATCCGATCGTAACGACACGTAATGTAACGTCGAATACTCAGGCAAGCTGATGCCGCACTACTTGGCCGCGGCCGCGCCCAAATCGTGAAGAAAGTGGGGGCAAGTCTGGTCGTATACAATGCCGAATGATTTCGATAAGAATCGAAGGCTAGGCCCATTCCGGAAGACCATCTGTGGTCACCGAATGCCTTATACTTTTGACCTCTAGTATATCCTGCCCAGATTCACATATTGCCTTCAAAATGGGTAATGCAATTTTCAGTTGCCATGAGTCATGCGAAGTTAAGGCCGAAGAACAGGAATGCGACGAGGCTGAGGAGGACAATATCGAGGATACGGTGAGTAAATTATATGATGTGCAGTATGTAAAACCAGACTGAAATATACGGATTACAGTATTCGAATTCCGAGTCCCCGCAAACGAGTGCATCGACACGTGCAAAAATCGATAACACTGTGAATGGGAGAGAAAGTCCAAGTTGGCACAGGAAGAGGAAACACCCAGACGGTAATTATATCAGCCTTCTGACACCGTAGCTTGGTGCTGAAATGTAGGGTCAGCCGTGACGTTCGCACTTTTCCAGAAATTTCGCGACCCCTCCCTCAGGGGGTCTCGATGCGACCCCCCCACCACCATGAGACTCAGGAGGCTCCCCCAATACAACCCTGCCTAGCCTACCCCGACCACCACCCTCGCCATCATGGCTGTTTCTATAGTACTTGATTCTGAGACCAGTCGACACAGCTGAACCCCGCCCACGTCGAGCGGCAGGTGCGGGGGGGAGGGGCAATGAAACGGTAAATTTAATTTACTCCAAAAACAATGTAAACCCTTCACTGAGCATCATTCCCTGAATGACCCCCTCGTTCGAATAGGACCCTGCTGAAATATGAAGCTGCGTTATGTACACAAAGCACCTGCCTCGCACCGACTTTACCCGTAAGCTACTCCCATGACTTTTGGGCACTGAGTAATCTATGGAACATGTAGGTGGACTCTCAGGCTAGTCGACGAATTGCCAATGCTTCAACTCTTTTTTAACCATGCCTTTCGTTGTTAAACCTGTAACCGGCGCGCTGGTTTGAAGTACGTTCTACGCGAACTTATTTTCGTATGATTTAGTTCAATTAAGGACCCTTCACTAGTAATGTTCTTGTCTGACCACAATCATTTTTAAAGCGCATTCCACAACTGGCTGAATGCAATTGTCTCCTATCGTGAGTACGGTGGACGGCTCCATGAATGAAGAAGTCGTGTCTACTCGCGGCTCAAAGCGATTTGTTATTCCCCCCCCCCTCGACGACGACCTTAAAATGGCCTCATAGAAAAGCTCACCGGCGGCGCGGACGCGTTCGCGTGTTGGTGACGTCATTTTGACGTCAGAGCGGCGGCGAGGGAACGAGCAAGATGCGGCGCCGCCAATTCTTCAATACATTAGTACTGCTAGCATTTATTGTACTCTGACGTCTCTGTGTAGTAAGTAGTGGTGTAAGAGGGAATCGAAAGCAAAGATCGAGCTCATTAGGATGAACTTCAGCTTATTTGTGAACTCCCTCATCACTGTTCGTGCCAACTCGCCCTCTCATCACTCCTGCCGCAGCAGTGACGTCACCAGCACGCGCTCGCGTCCGCCGCTGCCGGTGAGCTTTTCTCTCCCCTCCTTCCCCCTCCAAAGCGGGGTCAAAACGTTTTTAAGCACTGGGCAAAGCTCAAAAGAAAGGGGCAATGCATTCCAGGCAAATTCTAAAATGCCCGAGAGGCGTGACCCAATACAACGTGTTCTACCATTGCAACAATCCTACGCTCAACAGATTTGCCATAAAATTGACCTATGAAATGAGCCAGCAGCTTTTGATAAATTGTCCTTTGGTGAATTGTGGGAGAGCTTATGAGAGCGGCAAACAACGCGAACGCCAAACGAGCCAATTGTAATCATGGCACCAAACAACTCCAATGTAAGTTCACACCGAATTTCATGAAAAGAGCTGTCGAAAGTCAGTTCAGTGTCAGTTGGCCCCAGGTGCTAAAATTGATGTCATATTCGTGATCAGGACACTCAATCATCCCGTAGGAAAAGCTCCCGCGAAAAACTTTGGTGCAATATGCCTCCGGGGGAGGGGGGCAGTCTGTCGGAAGGTCACTAGGACTAAGCCTAACGCAGAGGGACGAATTCCGGAGCGAATGAAAATTGCTTACGCAGCTCGGATTCCCTCTTCTCCTCCAAAGCTTAGTCCCAAAACTGAAAGTTTTCGTGAATCTGACGCAATGTTACAGGCTGCCCCCCCCCCGAGCCACATTGCGCCAAAACTTGTTGAACCCATCTCAAGCACTTCTCCACTGGGGTGTACTTATTGGTGCAACAGCGCTAAAACTCGTATGAATACTGTTGCGCAAATTTCAAGAAATTTTGGGCATCGATAACATGTAGGCGTAAGATCTCGTGCAATCTGCATGACGGCCACCGCATCTTATTTGACGCCGCTCTGTCATAACTGTATGATGGCGGTTAAAGAAACCATAACATTTTCTGAAGTGATCCATTGCGCTAACGTATGTAGCAGTTGAAGGAGGGGGTGGCAGTCGCCGCAGCGGCGCGCAGCACGTTTGCGCCCTCTCGTGCGAGATAGTGTAAACTCGCACATTCTAGCTTTTCACGCATGTCAAGGATCTCGCTCCCCCCCCCCCTCCTCCCCAGCCTTGAACTGCATACATTCCCGTCATCTGTCTCACAGAATCCTCGTTTAAGCCTCTGCACCCTCTCCAACTACCCTCCCCTTCAAAAAACGAGAAATGCCGGGTGCAGATATACAGGGTGGCCGAAAAGTATAGGACGCCATGTTTTTGTGTGTAAAAGCCAAGAAAGAGACTCGATCAGGAAACCGACTTCACACAAAGATAGAGTTAAGCTATTTGATCACTTGTGCAGAAGGTGCTTTGAATTTGACGACTCTGCTTTGAGAGAGGCCTTCTGACGTCCAACGACAAAATCAGCAGTGCGCCGCAGGTAGCCAACGGCGATGTCGTCCCACCTCTTCTGAAGCGCTAACTTCAGAGCACCCACCGAGCTGGAGAAGTCTTATGAGGTCTTGCTCTACAACATCCTCACATAGAGGAGTCCATCGGGTTAAGGGCCTGAGAGGAAGAAGGTCACAATTCCTTGCTCCAGTGGCCCGGGAAGTGAGCGCCCAGGATGGCTTTGGTCGATTTGAACGCGTATTAGGGAGCCCAGCTTCATTGAAGAGCAAACGATCATTGAGCAAAATGCTCGTAAATCCAGAACAACATACCGTACCTCATTAAGGTCT